AGATGAATTTCTGTCAAAAGAAGAAGATGGGGTTATGGAAGGTGTGGGTGGACATGTTTGTATGAGGGGAAAAAGTTCGATGTAGAAAAATTTATTCATCTCACTAACTAGACTTTCACAGTAAACATTACACCTAAACTATCTGTACAATTCAAAACCATCATGTACATCATAACAATTAGAATTGTAGTGTGTAAGAACATTACCATCCTGATCAGAGCACGATTTCCAATGATAAGGTAACTGTACAGTACTTTTGCAAAGTGTGTGTCAGATTGAATATGCATTGCAAGTGCAGAATGACTAGAAAATGTTCTCATAATTTCAGTGAGTTCCATCGGAATGCCAAAAATTGGGAAGGGGGTCCGCACCAGGTCGGTGTCCATGGAGGAGGCTGACATGCCCAAAATTCGCACAGGATCTCTGAGTACAAGCCCACCCAAGACTGATGGGCAAACGGGGCAGTAGTCTGTGACCTGTCTGGACCTCAGCGTGCACTTGGTATAGTCTATTGACTGAACTGACTTGTATTTAGCCTATGCTGGTTAACTGCCATGACTTAAGGAGACTTTCTGTGGCACACTTCTCATTTAGCAGCCTTTGCAAGTAGGCAATGAAAGAACTTCCTAAGTCAGGGTGGTTTTCTTTGCTGCTTGCAGAAGAATTCAATTGTTAAGAGAGAGATTTTGAAATGGTTTCATATGTGAGGAGACATGCTTGTTGAAACAAAATTGTTAATGTTAAGAAGTGACCTTTAGAAATTTTCTTCAGTAGCTAATTATATACATGAATTATCTCTTGTCGTCTATCAGCAGCAATAATTGTAATACAGATTGAGAGGGAAAAAACATTGTGTTACTTAAAGGATAATTTGATTGTTATGATAATTTGATTCCACAAATTTAAGTAGTCACTGACTTGAGTTTTGTTAAGTTTGAATATTACAACAGGGAATTAATACAATTTAGTGTAATTTCTGTTGTATGCGTAAAATAATGTACATGTATCATAATGACTTGGATCTTTTCAATGGACAAAAGTGTTTCAGACATAATTTCAGAATCAAATAAAAATTTTACAAAGCATGTGGTTTTTTACTGCATAGAATAGAACTGTAGGGTAACCTGCTTTCCTATTTTTTGCTGCACTCAAGAAGAGTGTTCTGATTTAAAGAACTTTTGACTTAAAAATATATTACCTGTAAAATTCACTTTGCCCCATTGAAAAGATAGAGTCATTACTGTAATTTCAAGACTTATTAGATGGTGATGGTAGAAGGCAGTGTCACAAAATGAGTGGTACCTAAGAATTGGTCATCCTATTGACAGAAGCTGAAATAAGTAGCTTGTGAAGAGTTGAGCAAGTTGTCCAGTGAGATTCAAACGTATATACTGTCATTTCAATAGTCATTGATCAAAAATGTATGTAACAACTTCCCACTGATTATATCTTATAAGCGCACTTGATCATAATTGTAATTCCATTCAGATGCATTTACATTTGTAACACTAAATGGCATTTAAGTTTTTTTTTGTACTATTTCAGTGTACATAATATGATTAAAATATTGCTTTTGTGTTCTTGTTAGTGTGTTTCACTGCCAATCACCCGCATCGTGTGACGATTTAATTGGAAACTGTAGTAACACAGATTATAAATGTTAGATTGAGATTTTTTCCTTTTTGTAGGACTCTGAAAAGGGTTGCAGTAAATAAAAAGATCTTTTTTTGTTTAGACATGAAATTTTGATTTCAAATGTAATTATGGTTTACTGTGCAGAAGCAGACAAACCTTATTGTGTTGCACTTGCTGGTATCAGAATGAACCGACATCAAACTGTAGGCATACATGTTCAAGTATGGGTACTGCTTTTAGCTTACACCCAAAATATGTAAAAATATTCAGGGATAATGCTCATTTTCAACACATCATTTATAACATGGGTGTTTAATTTGAATTTCCAGCTAAGAAATCGATGGTGGTGATAATGATAACAAGATGAAAGTCATTTATTACATTACCAGAAGGGTATTTAACATGTATATTGATTACCTCAAGTGTCAATTCCAATGTAATCATCATCAGTAAATAAACCATAGTGGCCAAATTATTTGACTTCTTTGCCTTGAATTGTTCAAAGCAGTTGAAACGGTTATATTTTATGACTACTTAATTATAAAATTCTGAGGAACACACGTTTTGCATCTTCAATGGAGAACACTATTACACTGATTTTGCTCCAATCTCTTATCTCACGTAATCTTTCAAGGTCTTGAAACAAACTGAGCATTTAACTTACTAAATAATTTCTTAAGGAGGGAGGGGAGAACAAGTGTCAACTGTATCAGGTCTTTTAAATTGTATATTTTAACATTAAGGGGGGGGAGGGGGGTCTGGACTACTCCCCCAAGGTGCCCCTTGCGGGCAAAATTTTTGGGCAATCCCATATGGTGCATATGCCACATGATGACATCTGCCAAACAAAGGCCAAAATGTGTAACAGAATGCTCTGAACATAAAACTTGATAATAAGGTTCCATTTAATAGTTACTAGAACATTGTAATTCGATCTGGCAACAAGTTTTGAAATTGACCTGGAACCTCCTCGGCAAGGCAAGTTGAGACAGCACATTTTGTCAGTCAATGTGAAATGAACACCGTCTCCTCACTGACACACGTACAGTCTCCACCTCTCTCCACTTCAGTTGTATTTATACCATTCGTTGGATAATCCAGTCCCATACCAACCAAAACATAACTTACAATAAGAAAAGTGCATCATTTGAAATATCAATTTTCAAAACAAAACACTAAATTATAGAACATTTTAAAAATACAAATATGTTCTCATCAGACAATGAAAACAGTTGTCTCTTTCAGTAATTACTTTGAAACAGTTTGAGTTGCCAGTTGACCATAACATATATAAAAACCTTATCGGGACAACTTCTGGACTCATTTGTCAAGAACTTCACCATCTCTTAAACTTCCTACATTCTATTTCAATCTAAAGGTTCACTCAGCAGTATGCACAGAAATATGCGAAGATGTTGTTAATTATTTCTACATTTTTTACAAAAGTAATTAAAAAATAATATAATTAAATAAACTAATATGTTTTTTTTTTCATTTTCTCCTATTTTAAAATTAAAATGCAATCTGTAAAATGATAATCATCTTTAAAAACACTTCAGTTTCTTTATATCCAAGATAAGTGCATAAACATGTTATGCATAAGAATCCGCATTGGCTACAAGTCCAGAGCGTTCATTGGGATTCCTGCGAACTTGAGTATTGCACATCGGACAAGAATTTCTTTGCTCCAGCCACTGAAGAAGACACCTGAAAAATAAAAAAGAATATACAAAAATTCATTAGCAATCATATCTGCTAATTATCTTGGTTATGCTAAGAATGTAGGTATGTATAACAGTGAACTAATTTGTTTTACATCTGTCATGTTTTATTTAATCAATTTTTACCTTTTAAAATTTTCATCACATTCAGTTTATGCAGAACTCCTTACAGACCAAATGTTAAGTATTTATAAACAGTGGTTTGCATTTTACAAAAAAATTCTTTCAGTATTATGTTTAGTTTATTTTCTTGGTGCCAAGCAATGTCTGCACTTACTTGAGATGAAATGCATGCCTACATAGGCACAGTGCTATCTTTTCTTTCAGTTTGAATTCATCAAGGCAAACTGGGCACACCTTAATAGAAACAGATTTCTCACAATATTATACTATACTCTGGGGCAACAACATTGAGTCTACTTTCATTTTTAAGAGGGTAAAATCACAAAATGACATCAATGTGGTAACCACTGTTTACTTACTAGTATATATCACGCATCAGAAATATCTTTTTTTACAGAAAACCAACTGTAATATTAATGCAATCCTGGAGTTCTTGAAAAAACACATTAAATACCTGTATTTTGAAACATTAATGTTAAGAGTACCATTAAGCGGTAAAGGGGATCAACATTTTTTCAACCCAAAGAAAGTCTTGTGATTGCTAACCATTATATGCCTTAAATATTTCAAGTAAGCCTTAAACATTTCAAGTAAATAAATTGCAAAAAAAAAAAAAAAAAATTGAAATTAAAATACCTAGGTTTGTAAAGCAGGAGAAAAAATTGAAAAGAAAATCTGGAAAATGCACCTGAATATCTTGTGAGATCAAGCTCTAGGAAACATGCCTTAGCTAGGTTCCGACCTCCTAGAAACTCTGACAGAAATTACCTTAGTTTGCAAAGTGTTAGGCCCCATTCAGAATAGAGAGACCATCAGGAATCAGAGGTATCACTTTTGAACTGTGGTCGGCCATATTTAGTTGGCGGATTAGTAAGTACTCGGATCACCTATTCTGAATGGGGCCTAACACTTTTCAAACTAAGGTTTTTCAACTTACATCATTGGGGAAACTTTTCTTTTTCTTTTCCTTGAAAACAACCTATAAAAGAAACAGTCATTTAAGGATTTAGAGATGCAGGCTAATCTACAGAGTTCATACAACTGTATCACCAGCCAAAATACTTGAAAGAAGTTCAATGTTAATTAAACAACCAAGTCATTATATCAGTCACTAAGACGAATAAGAACGATCTAGAAGAAACACATAAGTATAAAATATATGAAATAACTGTCTAATATGTATAAAGCAAACCATTTTAGCCAAACAGAAGCATGCAATTTCAGGCAAAGGTGTATTTTATTTTCAAATAGTAGAAGTAACTAGTCTTTAGAACCATAACACATGGTCATTGACTCTCGAACATTACACAGACGAAAAAAAATTTAATCAACTTAAGTACATACATGTTATAAACAGTCAACCACTGTTTTGAAATAATATCAGGCTATCAGATTAATTGCGTTGCTGCTTTATGATTACCACAAAGTCACTTACCATTTTATATCCAAACTCTCTAACTGCATCTCTTCTGAGCCTTAAAATATTAATTATATATTATTAATATTACATGATTTAGGTATATCTGCAGAAAATATAAAATTTCATTTAAGAACTCTAGATTTGTAATTTATTAGCATAATTTATGGCTTGTTCAAGTATTTGTCATATTTAATATAAATAAATAAATAAATAAATAAATAGCAAAAGTTACAAGGCAAAACTCATGAAATGATACACCTGAATGACTGCAATGCATTTATTCATCTATGAAACACTAATTTTATGAATGGAATAAATGGTTAAGTACACATATGACAAGATCACTGGTTTTACTACAGCAATGACAGATCCATGTGGCACAGTAGGGCATGCTATTATATTATTGTTCCTCATTGGCTTCAGATGTACGCCTATCTCCCTCAATCCAGCTCTCTCCCCAAAAAATTAATAAACAGATTTACAAGCCAACAAAACAGATCCAAACTATTTTTCCATCACTGTGCCCTACCATCCCAGTAAAATTGTCCTTGCCCAATATTTCTATTTTTGCATCTCTGCCATTCTCCCCATTTTCACCCTGCCTGCACCACCCTTAATAACTAGTATTCTTCAACTTACTTCCATAAGTAGCAGCAAAATAAAAGACACACAATTAAAACAACACCTCCAACAGCTATGAGTGGTAGACCATATTTCACTGGGATATTATCCATTCCATTGGAAAGGCTTTATCGATTGTCAACGCTACCTGTAGTACCTGTAAAATCCGAAAGAAATTCATTTAAAATATTACATGCATAGAATAAGGAAAAAATTAGCATCTTTCAGATATTTCAATTGTGACCCAAGAGCAGAGAGAATCTAAGTAAAACTTAGCTAAAAAGTGCAAAACCAGATTCATACAATGTAGCATTTTACAGTTAAGAGTAAATACAGACACTCTGAGGTTAATTGCATTCCCCTTTTAAACTTCAATTTCATATCAAGCAGAAGTCTAGGGATAAATACATCCTTGTTGAGCTTTAAATATGCCATGTATTCCTACTGTTTCAGCGCATATACTCCGTACTTTGACACAACATAACAATACATTTGTACAGCATAAATTTATAGGTAAACAATTGGACTTCTGACCTACATACATTAGAAGAACGTTGCACAATGACTGCATAACATAAAACAAACAGTAAAAGCACACTATCCAAATTTTCAGCATGGCTAATTGAAAGCTGACATATCTGAAATCAAAGAAAAGATTTAAAGACATTTTAGAGACATATGATATAACACGTACCTAGCTGCACATTGCTCTGTTTATATTTGGAGTCGCAGTCATATGAAACAAAGATTGTTGCTTTAGTAATCATTTTGAAATTAAGGTCCCTATCAACAAAAGTCGTATATTTCTCCAGCATATAATGACTTTATGGAGAAATATATTCTTAATATAATTATTGACTTCTAGATTATATGTTAAAATATATTAAAAAGTGTGTTCCGCTTACTGATCCAAAATGCTACGTGACCTACATTAAACAATATGGCTTCCTTGTTGGAGTTGTAATTTCGCAACACCTATATTGCTAATAATATTACACAAGATGCGAGACGACGTTGTTTTGAACACAACAGCAAGTTTGATATTTAAACGTTCATTTTTAAACAACCTTAACCCCGCCACCTCAAGAGATGACGGGCGAATCGGGCGTGGACGAAGACCAATCTGCATTTCTGCTCCTTCCTGAGGATGTCTTGTTGATGGTCCTGTCCTACTGTGACAAAAGTTCACTTGGAAGACTCAGTTGTGTCTGTAAGAAGATATGGGGTTTGGTGTCAGAAGACTCTGTCTGGAGAAAGTATAGTCTCAAAGTGACTTTGATAGAAGATCCTAACCCAAGGAGGAGGGGAGGACATGGGTAAGCCTTACAGTACAGTACTTGCGTGAAGTTTAACAATAAAATATTGAATCGGTTTCCTTGCCAGTGTCACTGTACCAGTCTATAATGAAGTCTACTATCTTCCCTCCAATATCAGGTTACCTGAAATAAATGATTCATGAAAGCGTCACTGCACTGAAAGGAAGAAACGTGCCTTCAAAGTCCATTCTCTTTTATTTCAGGAGAAATTGCACAAAGCCAAACTTAAAAGAACAGTGCAGATTGTCGCACAGTTGGAAGAAGGGAATTTTTCAAGAAAATACTGTACTAAAATTTAAAATAAGGTAACTGAAAAAAAAATATACATACATACATACATACATACATATATATATATATATATATATATATATATATATATATATGTAAAAGAACAGTATTTTATAGCCCCTTTCTTGTGCCAAGTAAAGCAAATGTATACTATGTTCAACTGTCATGGATAGTCCTTCAGTTTATTTGTAAGTATTAAAATAACTTCTAGAATAGAACATCAATGTTTTTTTATTTTCCATTCAGGCAGCTACCTTGGATGCACAGAGATAACACACACATATGGATAACCCAGAGAAATATGATAAGATGCTTCAGCCAAAGAAGAAATGGTGTGCTGCATGAGAACAAGGATAAAATTCTAACTGGACATACAGATGATGTGTGCAGATTTGTCAGCAGGGATAATAGAGTGGTCAGTGGGGGAACGTAAGTTAACCATTTGTGTGCAAATTGAAATGCTAATATATGGCATTCTTTTATCCATTGGTGGGGGTGAGCATGCAAGACTGAAGAGACTGAAGGAAAACACAAATAATACTGCTTCATTACATATACTTTGCCAAAAAATAAAAGTAAACTAGTTCAAGTCTTATCACTAGTGTACTGGTGATCTACATACAGTACAGTGATACTCTGGTTTTAGTATTTTATTTTTATATGTTACATAGTATATGTAATATATAAAAATAAAATACTTAGCATGGTATTTGTCTTTATCCTGGGTTGTGTTTAGTCAGCAACTTTTTTTTCCTCACGATTTTTCCTACAATATGTTTTACAGATGTATAACCTATGTAGTATTGATGCAGTGTCCTGTTTAATGTAATCTAATGTTTGATCATCATAATAATTTAGAACCTATAATTTTGTATTTCTAGTGATGGCCGTATATGTGTGTGGAGCACAAACACTGGGTCTGGCTTGTACTGTATATCAGGGGCACATGATGATGAAGTCAGTGCCATTGACACCCGGGGTGATCTGATAGTATCAGGATCAAGAGACTCCAGATTGAAGGTAATTTTTTATCAAGATCTAGGAAGATGGAAGGAAAATTATGCAAGAAAAAAGGCAAAAAACTATTCCCAAATTGAATGTTAAAGCTATCAAATCATTCAAGATCTTATAATTTCACCTCATTGGTTGCCAATCAAGGTTGCCCACCTCTGTTCACACAAATGTTTATCACTTTTTCTTTGTATGGCTATATACTGGTAGTCATATAAGCTGTATCTACCAGTATATGAGCCAATTTTTTGCTTAATGTAGAAAGAAAATTTTCTTGACTCATGTAAATTTAAATTTCGCGTTTTTTAACACCTCATTGTACACTCAAATCCTATTTTAGATTTGGTCCATGTCTGTTGAAAAAGGGGACATGTTGAGATGTAACATCACAGCTCAGGAGAGGGTGTGGTCCGTGGCAATAAGTCCTGATCACAGGTACAGAATACAGGTTCAGATATATTATGCTTAAGAATGCAGGATCCAGAATATCAAGAGTTCTTTATTTTTATAAGTATTTATTTATTTTTAATTGTAAGATTAAGAGGAGGTAATGCTAGTTATATTCAGATATGATAAACTAGTTAATTTCAGATTTCAATTTAAACTGTCCTTCAGAGATATTGTTGACATTGCAATGTTAGTTATCATTTAAATGTATCTTGTTGCTTGTACTTTAGCTTAATGTCATGTGTGTTCTTTGTTGTTCTTTCTAGGACATTTGTCAGTGGCACAGCTGGTTGTGGGCATGTATCTCCTTTGAGACTGTGGGACATGAACACGTGAGTTGGAGAAAGCTTTGCATCTGCATAATAAACAAAAAGTACAAAATACATATGCGAAAGTATTAAAACTAAAACAATAAAGGTTTAAGAATATATTTGCAATCAAAGTAGAATGGCTGTATTTCAGTGTAGCTACAAATAAGTATGGCTCTATTTCAGCGAAAATACCACTTGTAAAGTTTTTATCACGTCTCAAGCTGTACACTACATGTGTTGATTCATTGGTTTGTCACTAGTTCTTGTCATCTGCCCTTTCAGTGGACACCTGTCCTGTCTGCTGCACACTAATCACCGTAAAGGAGCAGGTGCTAAAGACGTCCAGTTTGAGTCCCCTAATGAGCTGCTATCCTGTGGGTATGACACATACATTCGTTTATGGGACACCAGGACAGAGAGTTGGTATGTAGTTGTTTACTGGTGTATATTACAGAAACAGTATGTTGGATTGATGTTGATAATCTTTCTGTTTATAGGATACACTGTGTATGTTTTCAAAGACACGGTACATCCCATTTTAGTAATAACTTTCTCTTGCTGAGAAGTCACAGTTTTATCTGATGTTTAATTGCAAGAGGGATTTTTTCATTTGTTAAAAAATTTTAAGATTAATTAGGATCCGTGGAAGATCTGATAATAATTGTATTTTTTAAATACAAAAAATTTTCAAAAAATGAGTATACCTCTAGGCAACAGAATATGGTTTATGATTTCTGGTGCCCAACTTTATATTATAAGTATTATACTTAAGCATATGATATAAACTGAACAGGCATGAATTTTTATTTCTTTATCTGTATTATTTTCCAGTGTGGCAGAGTGGGAAGAGCCCTATGATTCAGCTATCTACTGTATTAGAAGTGATGGGTATAATTCTATCCTGGCTGGGACTGCACGGTATGGAATGGTTAGACTGTGGGACAAACGGATGACCAAACCAGTTCAGGTGAGCACAATATGATGATCAGAATTTATATTAATGTCTGGCAAGAGAAAAAAATTAAATTTGAATAAAAATGGTTGTTTTAGATCTGACCCGGTTTGTAATATTCCATTTATCAGTAATTACTAATAATTACATCTGTCTTTTGTTTCCAGATGTATTACACTTCAAGAGACAGCAGCCCAGTGTTTTCTTTGTTATTTGACTCTAAATTCATGTATGTAGCTCTTGACAAGAGTATTAAGATGCTGAACTTCAGTCTGCTGTGAGTGATATTAGTGGATACAAGTTTAATTCATTTAATGTACAAAGTATAATTTAAAATGGTAATATCCATATTATTGGAAGACTTAGGATATCAGTGATTCATTTAAAAAACTTTCTGCACTACCGAAGGTGGTTTATATGTTATTTTGTGCTCTCGCAAAGTTGAATTTTTACATCTGACTTTCAGATTTGTAAATATCATTTTAGAAATGAGAAAGTAAACGTGGTATTGTCCTATGTATTTTAGCTTTTGAATCGGGTATTAGATAAAGTATTCTCAGAGATGTCATGTTCTGACTGTGATAATAAAATGATATTATGTGACCCTGATTATTATTACTGTTATTTGAGGATGTCTTTGGATCATCAACCTTGACGGTAAAATCGATGATGTAATTTAAATAAACTGTTTTCTTTTGTCATTCCTGATGTTAATATATTTTAAAGTCACCCTTCATGTTATAAATACAAATGATGTACATATATGAATATAGGTAAGAAAAATTTGGAAATAGCAAACCAATACTCTATGATATACAGGATTCTCAAGAAAAATCAATTCACAAAATGAAATGGCACATATCAATTAACTGATGTTCAGTACATGTATGTATTTCTAAACTGGGAAAGGCCATGCACTAATACAACCCTTTTAATGCTTGTAACGTAGTACAATAATGACCAAAATTATAACTGGTGAAACATTTCTAAAATATGATCATGATCCACTGAAAAAAATGTATGTTGATTTGGCTGTTATCTGACAAACAATGATGGCAAAACCAGTACATTAATAATATGTGCAAGGCAATTATTTGCTGTGACAGTGTCAAGTGACGGAAAGTTCTTCCACGGACACGTGTGACTTCTCCCTTATAAACTCATAACTGGTAATGTACTTTTTAATATTTATCAAAGTTATGCAGCTGAAGGATGCGACATGTCAGTCCAAAAGCTATTTATAATTTCTCATTGATCCGAAAAATAATAAGTTCCTTTTGGACCAGCAAATACCCAAGTCAAAGAACTTTCGTACCACATGTACATTGCGATGCGCCTCAACAATATCACGCTTGAGACATGTTTATTACCAACTGCAATGCTGTCTGATGAAAGACTATTTACGAGCACTGTTTCTCATTTTGTACCCTGAGTGACAGCAGTGATGCAGGTGATCATGTTTAGGCCACACTTTTTTATTTTTATGGATGACATCCTCTGGGGACCCCAAAATCGGTGCGAGCGGGCGAAAAAAAAAAAAGAGTCCAAAAAAAAAAAAAAAAAAATTAAGAAAAGTTATGTTTTCAGTACACAGCTGGAAACACTAATTTACCACAGAAACACGTATCAAACTAACAACATGTCTTTATCCATGCTCTCAAAATATTAAAGCATTGTGAATAGGGCCTACTTCGTAGAAAGGTAAAAAGTCATGAATATATATATATATATATATGCTGCATATTACCAAATCTATTTAAGGTTATTTCATACATTCTGTTGGTATAGCAATCAATAAAACAAATATCAAATAAACAGCGTGTCTTTATTTACTCTCAGAAAATTTAAGCATTGTGAACACTTCTCAGAATTGTTAAAAAATGAAGCAAAGATAGGCCTATGCTTCCTACTACCAAATCTAAAAAAGGTAATTTCGGTCGATGCCATTTTGTCTACTTCGACTCACACGTAGCAGCCAACTATCGGGTGGCCTGTCTTACCTTCAGTCCACCAAATACCACGACGCTCTTGTCGACCCTTTTTTCGCTACAAAAAACCCTGGGGTGGGGGGGGGGGGAATATAAAATATCAAACACGTGAAGGAGCCCGCACACGATGAGCATTTGGCGCGCGCCACTTGCGCTGCCCCGTTTTCTCATCGTGTGCGGGGGTATTTTGGTGAGATTTTTGCCTCACGCGCGGCTGAGCAAAATTTCTCACGTGTTTGATTTTTTTTGGTCTCTTGAGGCAAATGTCTCAGCGTGTGCGGGGTGCAAGCGCCGATTGCTCACGCCATGCTAACAATGCGCATGTGCCAGTAGCCGGAAACAAACAAAAATGGCAGCCCCCAGCGAAGTAAACAAAAATGTACACAATTATAGTTAGTCTGATTGATTAACGTGGTCACCATTTGCCATTACTTTCAGAAAAACAATAAATATCTAATGTTTCCTTAATCACATGATCCCACAGTTCGCGGTGCGTCCGATAGGGGCAGGCCGGGAGGCATCTCTGCTGAGCAAAGAGCGCATCGTTTGAGGGGAGCTGAGGAGCCCGAGCATCTAGCGCAGCGCAAGTGGCGCGCGCCAATTGCTCACCGTGTGCGGGGTGCTTTGCTCAGCCGCGCGAGAGGCAAAAATCTCACCAAAATAGCCCCGCACACGATGAGAAAACGGCGCAGCGCAAGTGGCGCGCGCCAAATGCTCACCGTGTGCGGGCCAGATGTAGCCTAGGGGTCGAGGTGATCACTGCCGCTGATCTCTCAAGTAGACTGTTGTAGAAAAGTTAAAAGCTATGTTGGTCAAGGCACAATATGAGCAATCACGTCGATCTATTTAAAATTGGAAACGTTTTTAGACCTAGTTATCACAGCCCGGGAGCCACCGGCTCATTTGACGGTTATTTTGGAAAACATTAGATTTGGCCTCGTTTTCAAAACGTGGAGTGGTAACTCTAATAAAATTTGGTGGGAGACGAAGGCATAGAGACAGGTAAGTTGCACATGTGTTCGTGCAATGAACAGTTGATTTAAATACTAATGAATTTGACAGGACAATACAGTATATGTTTAAGTTACATTTTATACACCGAAGGAGTGTTCGTGTATTGATTTCACTGAGTATTCTCTAAAGTTACTGGCGAATAGCAAAATGGCCGCAGACAAAACGTCATTGTAAACATTGACTTTTGAACTGTGCCAAATGCAGCTTAAGGGTTTTTTCTTTATCTGTTCCTGTTTTTTCATAGTTTGGCAATATTTTTTGAACATATAAAATTTTTAAGATGTGCGATGGCCTGTAATTTGTAGAATTTCAACATTTCCAACAAGCTGTATATTCACCGTGCCGGGTACCTATCATTTAGTTGATCGAGTGATGGCAGTGGCGTTCTGGTCTCATGTATGGAATGAATGTCACCGTATAAGTGAAATGTTTGAATATTGGCTTCTCATGCATTTTTTTCGTGTTTTAATGTGAAAAAGATGAAGTTGATTGCAAAATGACATTGTCATCCAACCTGCATACGTATACGTATGTGCATATGGTGGTTTACCGGCACTTGTTTGCAAAGCGGCTGGTTTGCAAAGCGGGAGGGGGGTGGGGGTGGGGGGGCATTGGTACCAGTAGTTGTTAAAGATTCAGTATTGTAAACTAACCATAGGCATGTTTTAAAAGATATGAATCTTAAATTATGGCTTTAAACATGTTTTCTTTTTTGCTGGGGGCGGGGGGTTAAACGTATTGTGTTAATTTTTTAGAAAAAACGTGTAAACACAAAATAAGTTTTATTGCATTGGTTGGGGGTTTTGAGGAGAAGAATGTCATAAAAATGCAAGTTTAAAAAAGGTGAATAATATATGTATGTGTGTATGTACATTAAATGAAACAGGCTCTTCAATGATGAGGGCATATGATAGTGATGTGGTGCTCTGACTTGCATATTATATGCATGTTTTCTAATATTTTCATGCTTTGATTCAAATTGGGTTTTTAATTGATGATAGTGTGCAACTTTGCCCAAAGTTCAGTTCAGATGATTTTTGTTTATAATTACTGTTTTGAATTAAGTATAAATAGTGCAGTTTAAGGTGACTGATAGTAAAAGGACCAAAGTCATAGAAACAAAGCCCTGGGCTTATAAGTTTTTATAAAAAATTAAAACAAACTTCCCAAAAGGCCAATTAAAGACGGGAATTAAGTACAGTGTCCNCAGGAAATGGACTTTTAACACGAACTTTTCTCTTCCCTATAGTGTACTAGCTAGACTTCTTAGCTGCTAAGCTGATGTAAGACTTATGACCTATTACCGCACACGTAATCGGCTTATAACTCATTAACTGTGCTCCGACCCCCTCATGGCAACGGCCCTTAGTAACAGAGGCGTGGCTTAGTTGTCAGCCTGACTGGGGCGCGTGCCGGTTGAAAAACTCATCAAAAGACACATTTTGCGATGCAAATTCATAAAAATTATTACATCCAACGTTAGATACTTTTTTGATTAATATAAACACACAATTAACTCAAAAACATGATTTTAAGCGTATTTAACCCTATCACCGGCCTTAAGGTAAAGATTGATTGTAAATATAGTGCTGTTTAAGATTGATTGTTACAGTTTACCTATTACAAAGATTGCAATAAATTATTATTAATTTCAGTGTGTATGTGTGTGAGCATTTGATAAATGTAGTTAGAATTTTTTTAATGATATTCTATTGAAAACTTTATTATTTTTTCTAGGCTTAAATAGCATGAATGGGACCAGGATTATTCCTTTTGCTGTGCCTTGACCTGCAATTATCATAACAAAAGCACCCATCATTACCAAATGCTGTGTGGCAATGAACAGCACAATCTCTGCGATACTTCTAAGGGATGCAAAAATATATTTTTGAGCTGTGCTGTTGCTTATATTAATAGTTATTGGTTATCAGTAAATAGAAATGCAGTTTGTGAAATCATTTTAAGTTTTAACCACATGAAGTTAGTTAAAAGTGTAAGGTACGTGCAACTAAGTTAACAATACATTGTTTTATTTTTACTGTGCAGGTTTTTTCTATATATGTGTAGCTTATAGATATTATCTACTTTTCAAAATAAAACAAGTTTATTCAAATGCAAATATGGATTGGTACCTTGTATCAGTGAAAGAAAATTAATCTGACAAATCTGGGAAAATTTTTGAAATTGTATTATTTGTAAAAATTGAACCGGTCCACTTTGTAAAGGGGAATTGTGTATTAGATGGTTAAATATATATAAATGTGTACCAATCAAGTAAGGTAGCATTAAATTATCACCTACTGGGTAATTAATGTACAATGTAATGTAAAATAACAATTTTGCAACATACATGTCTCACTGGTAAAATATTTCAGACTAGTTGAATTTTATGTATAATTAAAATAAAATATAACAATGTGATTATATGTAAATTGCCTTTCATTTGTTATTTTTCATATTTAATGAAAGGTTTGGCCTCATGTAATAAAAGGGCTTATTTACAATGTAAAAAAAGTTAAAATTCGTTTGTATTAGCACCGTGGTAAGTGCCAAGAAAAAAAATTATTTTCATTGTCCCCAATACTCAGTTGCTCTATATAAGTAATACTGTGTGAAGGAAAAACTAAAACGAGACTGAAGCTCATGAGAAAGCACTAAGCCAAAGCGAGGCTTATATGCGGATATCGTAAGTGAGTGTTTTCAGGCTCACATGGCCGTGAATTGATTTGTGCCATTCACAGCTTAAGGTAAAGTTCTTTACATGCTTACATTGACAGAAAGCTGAATAAATGTGCTACAACTTACTGGTAATTAAAAGTTGTGCGGAGGCCTTTATAGATACAAAGATCACAGTTAAAGATGAACTTCCGTTATAGCTTTCGTAAATTTTCGATTTCAAACTAGTTTTTTAACACTAAATAGGCTCTAGATTAACTCGTGGTGCATCTCACATCATTCGAAATTTATTTCTCAATATGTCAATGTACGTAATGTGTCCCTGAGTACGTTTATAGTCGAGATATTGCATCGTTTCTGACACCCTATAAATCTCTAAAATTTTAGCCGATTCAAAAGTGTAAGACTTCCGGTTTGTTTAAAAGCCACCTAGCGGCAGACCGGTGGCTCCCGGACTGGCATTGAATAGGTCGACAATAGAGCCCAACAACGTGACGTCAGTGTGACGTTAGTATTGCGCCCTTTTTATCGCGGAGACTTGAAAAGCGTGCACTGCTATTGTTTAACTTAGTGAGTCAACGGCGTCAAGACTATTTTTAGTTAAATCACTCTATTAATAGTCGGTCACGATTATAAGATACAATTATCAGGTGCAGCTTCGTACACTGATCAGGTGAGAGAAACTACGAAATCTTACTATTTTGACTACTTCTTCTAACTGATATTCACCACAACAGCCTGAACAGGGCTGGGTTAGTTGCTTTCTTAATTTAAAATTATAAATTGTAAAATGTAAAATTGATCTTGCAGTATCACAAGGACGATATAAGTCAATTAACCGCCTTCTTCTGCTACATACAGACTTGTTATATACTGTTAACGAGAAGGGTGTTTATATACCAGTAAAGGAAAATAATATATTCTGTTACATCTGTAGATAGGCAGCAGAAATGAAGTTTAAAACGGTACGCGAGGGAGAACAAGCTGTCGTATTCAATCACCTAGGACAAGGAGAATTGTTAGTGGGACCACAGAGGGTACGTATTGGTATGTTTGTATGTATAACCACACATACTGCATGCTTACTTAGGTATCACTTGCAGCAGATATATCCTCGATGCATGTATTTTTATTGGCAATTTTGCTTCAGTCTATAAACACAGGCTCTTTTATGTTTTCGTATGATTGCTGTTGTGCTTGAGTCAGAAAACTAAAGTGAAAATGATTCCAATTATCAACCCAGCACAGTGTCAGAAT